TTAAAACGCGATCAAAAAGAAATAAAAAAAAACAGAGGGTGAAAATATGTATGTAGTCTGAAACCGTGTTCTCCGACATTTCGAAATCGGGTCAGTTTTTGAGATGCGCAACACACGCAATCGCCGTACCAATATATTTTTTTTGTTCGTTTCTTATTTATCTGCCAGCTTACTTGAGCCTCATTTCGTATTCCCCGTCGCATTTCTCTTCTCACTGTTCCGAGTTCTCGCCTTCTTCTCGTTCTCTCCTTAAAGAACCCGACTCTATTACATCCTTCGCTGCACCCGACGCAATACTATAAAAAAATATAACACGCTAAAGTTTTGGAAGAAAAAGACGAAGAAGGCCTACCCCCCGCTTCCCCTCATACAACGGACTGCAGCGGACTCTACGCGCAATACCAGCCAATCCAACGTCACTTGAGTGTCACGTGTCCCTCGGAAGCCTAGTCATTCGCTAGGATCCTTCAGTTGCCGCGTAGTCACGTGACAAATTCGCATTGTTTGATTGGCCTGGGTGGGGTGGTAGCGTCCGTTGCGCTCCACCATAAGCTGAAAGCGGAGTAAACCGAAAGCGAGAATGCGAAAGCTGCGGCGGCTAAGTTTTTCGAAGTTGTACACCCTCGATTCGCCGTAACTTGGCAAAGAGCCTATAGGCTACGGCCCTTCCCAGCCAATCAGAGCGACGGAGGCGAGGCACGTGGCAGACGGAAAAGAGGGGAAGGAGGAACTCCCGTCTTACCCAGACCTTCTTTTGTGTGTCCCAGAAGTTGCTTTTGTCCACATCGGAGGTGACTACCTCGTCGCTCAAAATTGGCACAAAAACGGCTCTCTCCCGCCCGTGGCTTCGACAGCACTGCGCGCAGCTAGTGAGGAGATGAAGTATAGTCACCTGTGCCCCTCCGGTGCGCTGATTGGATGACTGGGACCGTAGCCTTCGCCGTTTGTCAAGTTACGCGGCGAGACGGAGTCTAGTGCCCGTGGGGCATAGCAGCCACTCGACGATGAAACAAAGCCAGGATGAGGGATGGGAAATTACTCGAGATCCTCCGGGCTTCATTAAAGTCATTAGCCGGATCGCTTAAAGTCATTCCTTGTTTTTATTTTTTTTTTTTTAAACCTGAGGTCTGTTTCTTTTTTTTTTTTTTCCTCTCTTTGTAGCGTTCCGGTCTTCTGAGACGGGTGTATGTGGAAAAGGAAAAGTTTCTCCGTATCGAGAAAACCTAGTGACCCGTTGATTTTCGTCCGAGGTGAACCATAAATTATCCACTTTTTCTTGTTTTTTATGCCGTTTTTTTAATCATTTTTTTGTCTTATTGTGTGTGTGTGTGGGGGGGGGGGGGGGGGGGAAGTTTATTTCCTTTGTTTCCGTGGTTTGGGTATAGGTTTTTGTTTCGTATTTGTTCTTCTGCTCAATGTGTAGGTACGTGAAGCATGGGTTTAATTTGGTTCCTCTCCACGCTCATGTCGACCTTAGTCAGTTTTGTTTTCTGGAGTCGATGATAAAACAGAGTATGCAAAAAACGCAAGTTCGTCTGCTTCTTCCACAGAGGTTGCGACAATGTCAGAACACCGAGCTCTTATTGGCTGATCGAAAAAGAAATATATATATATAGTGGGAAGACCTCGGGGCATCTAGCATTAAGGTCTAACTACAATCCTCCAATCAAAGCCAATCACAGCTCGGCGTTGTTCTGACGTCACCGCAAGAAGCAGACGACTTCCTCTCCCCATTCTACAGCTACGCTTTGCTTGCGAGTGCCGTCACTTCGAAGCATGGATCGAGCACGTGCCCGCCAGGCCCGCTCTCCGCAGCGCACAGTCTGCTAATATACCTAGTTACACTAGCGCTCTCAAATGTCATTAAGCCAACAACAGCTGGCTCAATCGCGATCGGCCGGAGTTACGCAGTGGCGGCGCCAACTGTCATTGAGCCGCTAACAATCTTTGAGTTCAACCACACAGTTATTATAAATACGCTAGAAGTTCAACTGGCGCTAGTGTCTATGCGACTTCCTGGAGGCAAATTGAAGCAGACACCAACCAGTCTACCTTTGCGGGGCTCCTGTGCATTCCTATGGGAAAACGCGCGTGCATTTTGTCTCTTCGCCGGAAAATAACATAAATAACTTTTGTTATTTCGGTTGTACTGCATAGTATGTACGTTTATTAATATTATAAATGTGGAACTGCTTTAGTTACAGCATTTTTCTTTACCAGTGAACGATGTTAAACTTCGCCGTATTTCAGGCCCCAACCTCTGTACCATGGCAGGTATGTAAAAACGAGCGGCGATTCTAAGCAAAATAACGATCGAAAGAAATGTAGAGTGTGTTCAAGGTTAGCTAGCGTTCCGGTGGCGCTTATATATTGCTAATATGTCCGTCCTGTCATTATATGAAAATGACTCCGTCTTGCGCATCTTTACGATCGGTTAAAAAAGCATTCGAACGTAAAAAATAAAGTACGTGAGCTACAAAAGGTGTGTATTTGTATCATTTCCTATGTCGGGCACTTTTTATCGCCCACCTGTTTTCTGGCTTCTTCCTATTTGAAAAGATTTGGAGCGTGCGGGTGATGATTTGAATCCAGAACAAGCATCTTCGCACATATTCATGAGCAGAAAAAAATAAACCAGTACTTATTTATTGGAAATCAGACTATATTATGTGGCTTTCAATTTATTTTGATCGTCTGCAGGCACAAGGAGTTACTTATCCAATGTTGCCGCGTACTCCTTGCCGTCTCTCTCACCTTTCCAGATGTCCTTCGTTCGTTTGGCACGTATATCGCCCATGCTAGAAAGCACCGACGCCGTGTTCGCGCTAACAGTGTCCGACAGTGCACATAAATACATGTACGAAGTAGTTTTAGCACCGTTTTTCATGCCACAAATTTCAAATAAAAACGCCGTAACTGACCAATTCTTTCGTCTGCCTGTCTGAGAAATGTTCCAAGCTACCTAGCACGTACGAATTATTCGTGATATTTGCTCTTATAATCAGCGCAGACAGAAAAAGCACTCGCTTATTCCCATAGAAATGCATTACCGGAAGTCAGTTTTCGACTGGTTGCTGTCTGCTTCAATTTACATCAGCACAATAGCGCCAGTTGAACCTCTAGCGTACATTATAATAACTCTATGAGTTTAACTGAGCTGGCCTGCCTCGGTTGTACTCCATTTCACCTTATGTAGTACCACAGCGAAGGCAAGAAGCGCGAGCTCATAGCGTTGGCAGCAGCTCTTAATACCCCATTCACACGACCAGCATAATTAAAGGTACCTTTAACATAGGTCCCTTTGCAATCGGCAAATCAGCCCCCGCTGATGGATTGCGAGCACATGCCACGCGCGGAGGATCGCGAACTGATTCGCCGCTGGCCATAAGTCGGTGCCCAAAAGATTTCTCCCTCGCTTGAATTTGCGTGAAACGTCCTGATTGTCGTTTCTTTACTCTGAAAACAACAACAACAACAACAACAAAAAAGGAATTCATTTTGTTTTGTTTTAGAAGTGTATAACGTATGAAAAGTGTGCATTATACTCATCTGCATCCCTTGAAATAAAGAAAGGTAATGAGACATAAGTTTTGCTTTCGTTTCGGTTTCAACCGTGTTCTTTGATGCGCATCTCAACTGGGGTTGCTAGGCATATATGTACCGTGTAACACCGGACAACTTAGTTGAGCACAATGACAGTTCGGAGATGTTAACGATCATTGGCTTAATGACAGTTCAAATGGCTAGCGTTGCTAGAGTATGAATTTACCTAATCTTGAAACCCCGCAAAAAAAATGCATGTCAGCGAGAAATAAATTTAAAATAGAAAGTAGGGAACAGTAAAGTTCGAGAACATTTTCTACAACGGTAGTTCGTTTGACTCTCTTCTAGAGTATGGCGACACTGCTGGGTACGTGGAGGAAACCTGAAAACTACAGGCACCGAAAACTTCTCGCTTCGTTATCGGTTGGTTGGTGCTCGTACCGGCTAACGCCGTAATCTCATTGGTTGCGGAACGATAATGAGATGCAGGGGGTTCGCCCCGCCCCGCGTTCTTTTTTAAGGTGTGAGAGACTCCAAAGGGGTTTCAGATTACATGGTAATGCTGAAAAACAACCCCCCCCCCCCCACAAAAAAAAAAAAAAAAAGTAGCGATTTTTACTTTTAAAGCCATATAACGCATGAAACGCATTATAAGGAATTGGTGTATCACCTGACGTATATTTTTCCGCTAAATTTAGCGAGAACTGTTGGTTGTGTAGGTCATGTGACGTGGATTTCCCTACTATATTTAGTGGGGGAAACTGGATTAATGTAGATGTCATGACGTGAATTTTCCCGCTAAATTAGGCGGGGAAAGTGAATTGGTGTACAGGTGGCGTGACATCAATTTTTCTGCTAAATTTAGCGGGCGCACTGAATTGGTCTGTAAGTCCCGTGACGTCAGGTCATGGGACATCAACTTTCCCGCTAAATTTAGCTGGGAAACGGAACTCGTGTATAGGTCTCGTGATATCAATTCAGCCCTCTAGATTTAGCGGGAAATGCATGGACGGAAGGAGACAAGTTTGGGATTAGAAACTAGCGTTAAAAAACATTTTATGCTTCAAAAGATTAACTGAACACCACTAAGTGCTGCGCACTTTCTTTTGTTTGTGCGTGTCTTGAAGAGCTACCATATGTTCTCACACATTCAGCACTAACTCGGTAAACAATGCGCAATAATAGTGTGTGCCGATTGTAGTAGAGTCAACTGACACGGAAATTCGATTGACTGCACATTACGTCAAATATTCAATACGACGTCATTGCGGAGATTCGGTAAATAATTTTAAGAAGTCCAGATATTTGAAACACTATTAATCTGATTATGTCCATAGCACATCGAGTAGGCTGACGTTGTGCCCCCCCCCCCCCCCCCCCCCCCTTTCAATTTAATGCGACACGTTGCGCTGCATTCAACGGAGATAAAAAGACGCCGCCTTCGTGCGCGTACTCACACTGGTCGTCTTCAACGACGGCATAGTTGCCCTTCTCCACGAATGTGATCATGCCCATGTGAAGCACACCCATGACGACGTAAAGGAACTGCGTCTGCTCGTCTTCGGTCATGCCCATAACGGTCATGGCTTTCTGCAAGTAACAAAAGAAAAGCATGTTTTGTCCCTACAGAGACCAACACGCTGTTTATAAACAAGTCAGCGTATGCCCACACCTATAGTGAGAAGCGCTGCGCGTGTGCACAAACCGGACACGCGTGAATCGGCGAAATCAGCAGCAGGTATTTCGCCGATTATTTCGAGGCCTTTGAAGTGGCCCGTGAAACGATGGTACCATTCCCCTGTTTCACGGGAATCATCGAAAGTCCTTGGACCGAGGGCTTTGATGGAATAGACGAATCAGCTTGCTATATGTCCCCGACTGTGTGCGTCCCCTTTGGCAAGGATTGATAATTGGGCTAGTTGGTATTTAAACATCTAACGGTATTAGCGCATTCTTTAAACATCTAAACGGTATTCTCTACGTGTGCGCTAATACCGTTGAGGTGCCCTTTGGCTTCTTCTATTTCTTCGATTCTTTAAAGGCCTAGGCAGTGAAGATCTTGAAGGGCCTTCAGGTTTCCCCTTTGATGTACCTATTGAGTGTCTGGGAGAAAAGATAGCCATGTTTTTATGGCCCGCGTAGATAAGCTACGCATCGATGACAGCTGAAACTCCGTGAGAATGAGAAACTAGAGGTGGAACGCGAAAGTTTGGAAATAGGACGTTGCCTGGATCAAATGATAAAAGAGAAGTGCGAATTTTTTTTATGAGCCGACGCCTAATATTATGAAGTGAAATGCCTAATATTATGAAAATAAAAAATGAGTATTATGAAATGAATGCCTAATATTATGAAAATAAGACAATACATTATGGTCGCATATGGCACTTAATCAGCGAAAGGAAAACATTGCAACAGATAAGATAATACCAGCTGTTTTCTTTTTTTGCTGACAAATAGTTTTCAGTTCAATACATGCTACAGGCGCTCACAGTGTCGTTTCTAGTTTTGATGATATTAGGCTTAGGTAAACGTAGGCTTATCAAGAAATTGTCTATTTTTTTTTTTTCGATGAGTTTATGCTGAAACATTTCTCAGTACCGCTAGCGTCACACTCCCACGGAATTTCAGGTTTCTACGATGCGTATAGTTTATTTATGCGAGCCAAAAAAAAACATTTTCTTTTCTTTCAAAAACACCCGTACCAATGAATGGATAGATGCCAATGGCTGTACCCTTTGTAACGGGTGGTAGCTTGCGCCACCTAGCTTAGACACCAAAAGCACAGTTCATCAACTTGCCCTTCTAAGAAAATTTGCATCAATGTAACCCGCATATACGCTTTCTTTTAAGTTTTCCTTAAACGCCTTTCGTGTTTTTTTTATATATATACTGCAAAACTCACCAGGGTTTCTTGAAAGTCATGTGCATCGTTCGTGCCTTCCAGCTTGTAGACTCCGCTTTGGTTGAGGTAGGTGTAGTAATCCGGGTTGGCCACGCCCAGGTTTTCTGAGAACCAATCAGCGTAGAATAAAATGTCAATGTAAGGGAACATCAGGTAGGCATGTATAACAGACCGAAACTCTTCTCCGCTACTTTAACGCGAACATCTTGCGCACATTGAAAACATTAAAAAAAAGGTATAAAATGATACAGTTCTTACTCCTTCTGTTAACACTTTGCAAAACGTAAAGTTCTTCTTTTCTTACCAATCAATGAATCAATAAATTTTACGTCACATATCTTAATTATGTACAACTATAGGTTCCTGCATTAGCCTATGTGGCTTGTGCGTAGTTTTTGCGGCACTGATTCGTCGAATTTAGAGTTTTAAAATATACTTATTAATTGTATCACAGTTTTCTCAAGCAAAATTTAAAAAAAAGAACCATGCGCATGTCATTCCCTCTTTTCCCTCCATTAATTTTGTAATTTCAGTATTATATTTCCACTGTAAGTCATATTGAAGTAATGTTTACACAAGCACTAAAATAGAGTGTTTACGCAAGACTGAATCGAGACAATAACTCGACACCCAAAATCCACTCCCAGAAATGATAACAACATCCTTCGGGGGGTACTGCACTTGCTCCATCTCAAGCGTGGTAAGCAGCGTGGTATCATTATGAATCGAGGGGAAATAATCACATTAATTATCAGAAAAATGCTTACTCTTCATTTCGGGTGATGCACCATAACACACTTGGTAGAAGATGTGGAAGTTCCTTTCAAGGGAGCTCTGACTCACGACCCTCGACTGCAAAAAGGAACAGAAGAAACACAATCAGTAAAACGCGCGAGTTAAGGCGTTTTTGCCGGAGTACTATATAAAACACACACAAAAAATGGCACTATCCTCATTGCGTTAAGGCCTAAATTTGTATGATTCAACCAATGTAACTGATATCATAATAGAAATATCTAAAGCAATTATTTGGCAATCCGACCAATTCCGACCCAATTCGAGCCGACCTAACCGACCTTACCCAGAAAGTTCTGGCTCGACCCGACCCGACCCGACCCGACCCGACCCGACCCGACCCGACCCGACCCGACCCGACCCGACCCGATTCGACTCGACTCGACTACTCCCGACCCGAACTGATATCACTCAGACCACTGGCAGCTTGCATCAAATAAAGCTCACCTTTTCGAGCAGAAAGTTGGAGATGCGACCGCCTTCAGGGGTTCCGCCACGACTGAACTGTATTTCCACGTATTTGCCCTGGGTCAAAGAAGGAAGTTCCCAAAAGCATCAGAAGCGCTCTGGGATCATGAGGTAGAAATTATGTAGAAACGATCGAATAATTGGCTCACGGGACAAAAAACATGGACGGCGCGCTCGGTGCAAATTTTAACTATTTCAAATATTAGCAATACACACAGGGCGAATAAACATAGTACACGTAAGTTAAAAGAATACAGCGCTGACCACGTGTGAGTTTCGATCGATTAATACAGCATCAATAGTTGCGTATTCGTGCTACAGTCCATCAAGCAGCGTGGCATATATACTCCTGACGTAGACTGTTAACGTAGCTTGGCAGAATCCACATCAAGATACACTTCGCCGGTTGTTTTCGTGCCTTCCTCCTGGACTAAACGGACTGAATAAGAATGCATATTTTCTTTCTCTGTTTCTCTCTTTTTCTCTCCACAACTGAGCGAAATAAAAATTGGTTTGATGTAAAAATATTTGTGTTCGCTATTAACATGTTTGCATAAATCCAACAGAGGTACCAAGGTAGATGGAAGTGTCATGCAAAGTAGTCCTGGTCAACCATTAAAAAAGGTTCCTACATGTAGAGGACATAAGAACACGCTAGAAATGACAATTGCGGGCAGCTAGTGCTTAAAACCAAAATGTAATTGAGATAAGCGTCAGGATAAGGCTTCAAGGCATCAGGGAGTTTGGATTCCGGGAATTTCGTCAGAAATGACTCCTGCAAGTTCAAAATTCGAACATGAAAACATACATGAAACAATCACGAAAAACATCATCTGGGAAGATGACATCATGCGCAAAACACCACAAAAAAGGTGATAATACTAATAATAATATTTTATTTGTACTTAAAAGGGGGGGGGGGGGGTACGCAGGCATACTGGGCCACAAAAGGCAATGCTGCCCATACCGGAAGGCTTGTGTACCCAACCTGGGGCCCGTAAATGCATGCATGTGTACATATGTACACATGCATGCATTTGGAACGCGTGTGTACATGCGTACACACGTGTTCAACTGACCAAAAACAGTGACGTCAAAACAAGTTGGGTCACCCGTACAGCCGGCGCAACAAAAGCGAGCATAACGATCGGCGGAGAAACGAACGTGGCCCATGAATAGGCTTCGCTAGATTGCCCTTTGATGCGACTTCCCGAAATACCGGACGTAGGGAAAGGGAATGACCTTCGGGAGACGTAGAAAAAAAAATCCAGCAATGAAGACAAGCCAAGCAAATGAAAACCCGGCTTGGTTGCACGGGTTCCTTTCTGCCCGTCTTGACCACTTGCCTGCACCCGCGTGATTGCGTGTGTGCGCTGCGCATAAAAGAGTTCTTTTTTTTTGGGGGGGGGGGGGGGGGGGGGAGGGGGAGGGGGGACGCGCAGTCGGTTGTGGTTCCTTCGTTCGTTCGTGTTACACTTCACTTTTATGGGACCGATGCAGTCTTGTACAGACTTTATTTATTTATTTACAAATACCCGCAAGGGCCCTCAGGGCCCCAGAAAAGCAATTGATTACAATAACAATTACACTTGGCTAAAAGTATTCGATCAGATTACTCGATCGAAAAAGTGATTGGTCCTTACTAGAAAAAGTAACCATCACTTTTCCGATTAATTCAGATATTGAAAACGACAGATTTTTCTGCCGGTTTTAGTATAACTATATTTCGTACTATTCATTAGGGAGTTTTAGGAAACCGTGTTTGCACATCCGATTACGGCACGATGGGTCCCCCGGTACGAGCTGCGCATGCGCTAACGCAAAAGACTCGCACAGTGCGCAGTTCGTACCGGGGAAGCCGTCGTAGCGTATCCGATGTGCAAAAAACGGTTCCCTAGAACTTTATATTACTGGATCAAAATTACCGTATCATAAACAGCTTATCTTCTTAATCCACTAATTTCGGTAAACCATGCTCCAGTCGGAGAGTTGGTTCGAAAATTCCTTGGCAGAAAACTTGTACGAACAAAGAGCACAATTAGGAGAAGGGGAAAAAATAGTGACGGTTACGAGTCATTTTAGTACTCCCAAAAGCAGTCAGATTACTCTTGTGAATACTTTCGAATAAGTGTGCTTAAATGATTACAAGATTACTTTAAAAAGTAATTGATTTAAGTAATTTGATTACTTGCAATGGGTACCGTACAAGCCTGCTCTGATGTGAGGTGGTTTACGTCTGAGATGCTCTTTATCGGCCCGTCAGTCAGAAAACCTTTTTGTTTAAGAAGAAAAGAAGGTCGAACTCTCCGCTCTTGATCGATATCATAAACTGAGAGTGCGGGGATGACTGCTGGGGACGCACGACACGTTTGCAATTGATTCTTCATTTTTTCACAGCAATATTACAGCGATAGCTGTAAAGGCTCGTTCACACTCTTGCGACCGAGTACGACTGAGAGAAACGAGATATCTTACAACTTCTTAAATGTTTTTAGAATGAGGGAACGCACTGGCATTGTGGCGCCATCTATGCGGTGACCCTGGAACTGCATTTCACAAGAGCGAAGGTTTTGCGGGATTTCCGAGGTCAAATGTGCGTTATACCCATAGAAAGGCTCGTTTATAACATTGACAAAAGTTTTTCGAGCCAAAAAAGAAAGGATAACGCGCGAGAAATAAAAAAAGATATGCCGGACCGCCGGGTTTACACTGCTTCGCAATAGATGGCGCCAGTGTGTTCTCCGGTTTAAGAAGTTTAAAGGAACCCAGGTTTAAGAGGTCGCAAGAGTGTGAACGGGCCTTTAGTGGTACACTTCACGGTTTCGCGCGCTGGCCATTTTCCACGCGGGCCAGTTTCAGCACTCCCCCAAACATTCCAGGGGCCGCTGATAAAAGATAACAAAGAAGCGAGATAACATGCATGGTCATCATGCATGGTGGCAAGATAACATGCATGGACAGTAAAACAGCCTCCACCGGCAATCTGGCAAAGCGCTGCGATAGGTGCCCATGTGATCCAGAATTAGCACAAACGACAATTCTCGGGAGATAGGCAAATAAATTTCCTTTGAATTTAACTATGCGTTCTGTATCATAAAGCGAGGGGAGAGCAAGTGCGTTAGTGCCCCGTCAATGCACTTGACAGATACGGAGTTTTGTTAATTTATGGGGTTTTATATATTAACGTCTGTGGCGTTTCTCAAGGGTCATGCTAATGCATTCCCCAAGGATCCACCAAGGGGTCTTCCTTTACTGTTCTAAACGAAGAGTCAGAAATACGTTATTAATAGTGCGTGTTTGTTGCAATAAGCCTTATTTGAGAGTGCACTTTGTCACGTCTACTTCCTCGTCCCTGTTTATTCGGAATCCCGGAGAAAAACTCACCGGAGAAAAGCTCACCGGAGAAAAGCTCACCGGAGAAAAGCTCACCGGAGATAAGCTCACCGGAGAAAAGCTCACCGCAAACCCAGCGGATGCGAAGAAAAGCTCGCCGATTTTTTTTTCTTCTTTTTATATGGAGGCTATTGGATCATGGGTAACATATATCAATTTATTATCATTAAAATTCGTCAGCTTTGTAAAAAGATGATGTCCTTTTTTGTATTATTTGTTAAGCTCATTCAATAATATTGCTCCCAAATTAATAATTGCGTGCGAGTGTTTTCTGTGGCTTACTCTGCAGGCAACGAAAGCCCAACTCAAAAGTTTATGAACTTGAAGAACAGAAAAAAGTTTGAAAATTTAATAATGTCTGCATAAAGCCTAAAAAGCAAAACTGTCAATGGCGAACATCCGAAAGTGCATGCGCAACAACGCGATACCTAAATTCCTCTTTGAAGCTTTTGTTAACCTTTGAAAACAGGATAGAACGGTCAGTAGAAATTGAAATTTCTTTCTTCCATGGACATGCACGTTTTGTACCCGTTCGTGCTGGTGTGTCCAGACGTTCCCTTCGTGTGATAGTGCCCTTCTACGGCGAGTTACCCATGACTTTCAGAGCCGCACACTGGCACCGTTGTTACTCGTGACCTATATAAGAAGTAGTCTTCTGTACGGTAGCGAATAGGGCGAGTTGGTAAACGTCATACATGATGATAACCGCTCAAAGAACGACAACGGAGTCAGGACAACAAACACGACAGGACAATCTGTTCTTGCAACTAAAGTTTTGTTAGTGAAATTAACAGAAAGAAAACAGTGTAGCCGACACTGATTACATCTACAAACACCTACTTATCTATTAGGCAATGCACAATATTTTGAACTGAAACGGTTCACCACACCGCTGTTCATATTAGCTTGCAAAGAACAAACCTCTTTATTTGACAGAGCTATCGACGGTTGTCAATAAATTGTTGTCTTTTTTACCGGTGTACGATGTTCTGATTTTGTACTTGCGGCTTCATTAATATACAGAATGGGTAATTACTGAATTCTGAGGAATTAGTAAATATGTCCAATGAACTTCGAGAGCATTACAAAGAAGTGGACATATTTTTAATGAAGTGACGAATGCGAATTAGGTTAAATGGGAACGTTTGGCGCAAAATCCGCTGAGTTAGAAAAAAAAAAATCGGTGAGCTTTTTTCCTCATCTGCCGGTTTTGCGGTGAGCTTTTCTCCGGTGAGTTTATCTCCGGTGAGCTTTTCTCCCGTGAGCTTTTCTCCGCCGCCCGTTTATTCGGGACTTTTCGTTCAGCACGTGTGACTATTTGTACCAAAGTGACGTACGAAACCACGCTCCCGTCTTACGCAGACACCTGAAATGCTCTCAGCTTAGTACACCTTCGTTGGTTCCAAAACGCTATAGAATTTTCGTCCGGTGTGTTGCTCGGTTTAATACAAAAGTCCTATGCGGACTCAATGGTGCGCGCTCGCACTTGTACCGTGCATTCAGTCACTCCGCTCCGAAAGGACACCTATAGTTGCTCCGACGTCACACCTCAGCTACCGCTGTGTTCTACCTTAAGGGCTCCGTAAGTGTTTAAAAAAGTTTTACATTCCGTGTGCCTCTTTTGGGGGAATCTGTCAGCTTGTCTGCTTACATGTGTTTCGCCC